GGGAAAAGGGAAAAGAATTATTCAAATTGCAGAATATCTTCATATAAAGAATGACAGTAAAGAGTAGAATTCTTCAGTCTAAGTAAGAGATATGCAAGGAAAGGTGATGAACGCCTGCCAAATCACAAGTGGCCTGGAGATGCTTCTCTCTGCCCTCCTGCAGGTTCAAGCAAAGACAAAGCGGTATTTCCTGGACGTGTCATACCTGTGCTGTGAAAACCTTTGCACCTGAACACACTGTGGTCTCCTGGTCATGTACTGAGAGAACAACTGGACAAATTCAGGGACAAAACAACTTTTCAAGCCACCTTACAATACTGCTGATTTAAGTGCAGCAGTGAAAAAATAGCTAACCTAAAGCATGCATATACAGTCTCAAGAGAAATCAGTGATACTATTTTGTTCTATGTTATGTTTCCAGCGTAGTTATAAACAGCATCTGACATCTGAGCAATGGCAGGCATTGCTCTGTGGAGATTAATACACAGGAACTAAAAGGCAAGGTCATTATGCCTCCTCTTCTGCTGATTCACTAGAGGAGACAACATTCCACCAAGTCCCCTTTTGGGATACCACTCACCGGCAAGCTACACTAACCTCTGTGTTGCTCTGTACTACACTCCTGTAGTTGTATGGCCTTCTTTGATAAAAGATCAGCTCCACTGGGGTCAGTGGTGACACTCCCAGGAACTGCATGTTTTGTGCTACCTAGGCACAGCAGATTCCAAAAGAAGAAAGAAAACTCTTGTGCCAAAGTAAGAGACAGACTGAATGAAGGCAGGGTCTCCATCCCCTTGGAGAAGGGGAAGGACAGGTCCCGGGAGATCATGGAGCCACTCCTGTCAGATGGACGAGTGGTTACTCACAAATAGCAGTGCTGTTACTGTTGAGCAAGTAGGAATGGGCATATTGCTGTGACGTTCAAATACCCTGCTTTGATTTCTTTGGCCTGTATTTCATGACTCGTGCAGTATAGCTTCCTGCACTAAGTAGCTGTTAGTGTATAAGAATAAAAAAGTTACCAGTTAATCTCAACTTTTCTCATATAATAATAAAAAAAAATTCCATTGCTTAATATCTAGCAATCGTTGGGAGTCTGACTGTTACTCTTGGGGGAAAAGAATTGGTCAGTATTAGCCTCAGGAGACTTGAAGATACTATTTGTGCTGAAGAGGGTGGATGAAGTAAAGCTCAGCAGCCAAGCAAGAGTCAGACTGCTCCTAGAGTAAGTGGCATAGGCAAGAACACATGGTAACAACAAGTGATTTGCATTAGTTAAGTAACTCTCAAGGGTTTTATAACAATGCTATCCCTATTTAAGTGAAATGTATGACACTGTAAGAAACTAAGGGCAACAAAATCCTGAGGCAGAATTTAATTTGCATAGTTAGCTCTCTTTTTTGTATTATATGGTGAATGTCCATTTGATCAGTCATCTAGGTCAACAGGAAAAGGGGTGGATACCTTCTTCTGGAACACAATACAGGACTCAAATATTATAGTCAGGAGAATTAATTACAGAAGAGAGACCTTAAAACAGTGGTGTTCTTCCTTCCCTTGTTAAAAAAAAACCAGAACACCAAAAAATAGTCGTCTTCTCCACTGTAGTCAACAAATACTGGAGGGCAGAAATGGCAATCACATTTGTTTCAGAAGATCCTTCAATTTGATGTGCTGTATTTAGTTGGACCACATTTACACCTAATTTAGTCTCAAGTCACCACAGCTGATAATAAATTCACATAAAGTGCTTCTTACACTTCTCAAGTCATTGATTTGTGTCTGTTGATTTTAATGCCAGAAATCTGGACCTTAATCTCTAAAATAAAACTGGGTTTAAATAATGACCCAAACACCCTTATTCTATACGGACAAACATTTCAGCTTCATGTACACGGATTGGTTTCATCAAAATAATATTACTTAAGATTAGATTAAATTGGATATTTTTACTACGTTTTTTTGAGAACTGCCTTACTCTCTCAACCATGTGAACAGTCCACATTTGGATTTAATGCAGGTAATAAATTTACTTAATAGATATTTTATAAGGGGAAAAGACTACTTAATTGTAAGCATTTGTTTATGACTGGTCATATTTGATGTCATTTTCACCAACTAAGTTAAAGCTGATGGCAAAAATTTGAAAGCTGCTATAAATGTATATACTTGTCTTTAGAATCCTTTAAAGATGATGTCAGAAGTGCTCACAAAGGAAAAAAATTATAATACTTTATTTAGTATTGTAAATAGGAAAAAATAACTTGTTCTATAAGTGATGCCAAATTCCTTTCCTATTCTTTTGCAAGTTCTCAGTAGAAGTGCAGACATTTCTTTCTCTGTGACAGCCTTGCATTTGTGTTGCCAAAGGCATTTTTAAACATTTTTTAAACTACTGACCAATTTAAAACAGTAGAATATTTTTTAATGAAAAATGTTAATTACACCAATTTTAAGTGTCTATTCCTAAATTTTAAAAATCCATAGCTTTTGTGAACTGACATCATTTGTCCTTTTCAGGACAGGCCTTCAGGGCAACTAACCTTGTTTGATCATCAAAGCTGGCTGCGAAAGACCAGGCAATGCTGAAAGCAGGCTAAAATAATCCCTGTGGAAAAAGAACTGCGGAAAAGAGCCTGGCTCTTTCTGTCCAGTCCTGAAACAAACAAGGGCACAAGGTTCAACACAGTAGAGCTGTTGTAGCATATCCTGCTCATGGAAATAGTTTTTATTTGTAAGTTCTTGTTTGAATAAAAGAAAACTATATTTAGAGAGAAATTCACGTGGATATTATTGCTAGTTATTTCTTGGACCTGAAACTTATTTCTTCGTTCGGAGTGAGGAAGGGTTTCTGTATAACATACATTAATTATACAAGACAAATATATTTTGAGCTGTAAATTGCTTGCTAGCCTAGAAGTTATGATTTAAACAGTGTACTTAGTATTGTCTGAGTCAACAAAAGATAATTGAAGAACCATTTTCATTATTTATGAGAATATTATGAAATATTGGAGTTTTATGAAAATCTTAAGCTTTTTTTCAATGAAAAAGAATGGCAGTTTTTATTATAAGGTTCTGACGATAAAAGATCAATTTCAGTGTGCATATAGCTACATAAACTCTTTCAAATATATTTATTGGTACTGTTGATTCTTATTGTTGGAATTATTTTTGACTGAGTATACCTGAATCAAAACCAAGGCATCATCAAACATTCATCAGTGGATATATAACATTTTGAGACAGACATCTATGAATGATGCACAAGTTCATGAATGAATACTGTATCAGTTATATTAGTGATGAAATTTTTCAAAATTTCTACCTATGAAAGAATTAAATATAATTGTCAGCACAGATTGGGAATAACAGATCGAGTGATGCAGAAATAAAGCCTTTGTAATCCATGAGACCGCTAATGGATCCCATTTCCTTATGACAGACATTACTGTCATGTTGAATAAATGGCTAGACAAAGTATTACCTTCTTACTTATGCATTTATATTCCATAAATATTTTACAATGAGTACTTATATGTAGATCACACAATAAAATGTTCAGAATGTTTTTGCCACATCTATTATTGCCAAAAGTTTCTGCTTGAAAAATGGAAATGTATTCACATACAGACATAAATTTGCCAGATGCTATTAAACTACTTAAAAAAAAAAAAAAAAAAAAGAGAGAGAGTAAAGACCATGGGAATTACTTAATATTCCTCCCAAGACATTAAGGATTTCTGTGACATTTCTCTTCGCAGGCATTTTGAAGTTCTATGGGAGTGTTTCCCTTACTGTAATAGTCAGTTACTACTTAGGCAACAATTCGGGTATTTGTGGACCACACTTTATGAAGTGACTCAGCCCATTCTTAGCATGGATTCAGTTTTTGGTTAGGGAAGACTACAATACAGAATTAATATGCATGAAAAAAATAGATGTTTGAGTAAGCTTTAGTCTGCTGTCATCAGCCAGGTTTTTTTCTTACTGTTTGCCAAGCTCCTAATTTTACTACATGGATTTTAACAGCTTTGCTGTCATGCATATCCCTGTTTTCATAGTACAAATTTTATTTGGCACTGCCATCTTTATTGCATATATTCCTAAACTAAAAACAATGGAAGCAGAAATCTAAGCCTGTCCTGACAAATGTGAGTGAGCTTCTGGCAGCGCAATGTCCATTGTCTACAATCGTTCTGACAGATCACTGAGCTCAGACAGTGCATCATACATGCTTAAATTATGAACAAATTCCATTGATGTAAGGATAATTCTAAATCCAGAGTATTTGGCACAACCCTTGGTTTCTAAGTCTGGTCCGTGGAAGGATTCAGTGATGGGCCCAAAGGGCTCTAAATTAATTCCAGACCGCCTTGACATAACCCTGCCTTGAAACTAGCTAGTGAGTATCTAAAAATCTCTGCAGTAGTTATTAGCATATCACTATATAGTCTACGCATCTGCGCATTTGATTTTAAGAAGTATCTATCATAAATTTGTGACTACAGATGTCTCATTCACGGCAGATTCTGTGGCACCAAAATATTTTTAAACTGTGTTTATCACATCATTAAATGAACAGGAATAGTAATTCTTCAGACAAAGGGTATTGCCAAATGGAAGATTTCGTACTTTGAATAGGGAAATTTAAAGAAAGAAAAAAAAACAAAACAAAACAAAACATGAAATCAGACGACTACCTTTGCATTTGTACAGACCCTTTCAACTGTGTTATAATAATGAATAAAAAGAGGAAGATATTTTCCCGGTTGGAAATTGAGTACATACCTTAGGATTCTGAAAAGTGGCCAGTGATAGAGGCTATCAATTTTTTGTTATGCAACTTGAAATGCATTAAGGCAAAACAATTACCAGAAAACCCTGGGTACCTCCTTGTTTCATAGTAAGCAGTGAGAATGAATGGATTTGTATTTCTTTTTAATATTGTGCAAAATCACATAGGTAAATGTTACAAAATAAGCTACTCTCAAGCAGAATGCTTTTATCAAATTCTGTATTCTCACTATTAACTGTACACAATACTCAGCACATGTTATTTAGATGAGTTTCATACAAAAATAGTCTTACCACTAAAGCAGAACATTAAGTTAATTTGTTTAGGATCTTATCCAAAAGCCACTTATACAATATAATTTGAAATATGCCCTGATACTGCTTCCTTATCAATAATTACCAGTCTTCACCCAAGTATATGGCTTGTCCTTTCGTAATGTAGCTTTCCATTGAAGTGATATCAACATATATTTCTAATGAAAATCAGCTCATTAAACTTTTCTTCAGAATATACTCGAGTTATAAAATCCAGTTTCTGTGTTATAATCTTTACATCATTAACAGTGTGGGGTTTTCCAGAGACTTCAGTATAGCCAGTTTTACTTAGATCTTGAACATGTAGTTGGGACTGTCAATTTTAAATCAAATTAAGAAAGTATACAAAATATAGTTTGTTTCAGCTTTTATTGAAGACTGGTGTGTATATATCTCCAAATTTCATATCATAGCATTTGCCTTGTAAATTTAAAGGATTAATCTAGATACTGGCTATCAGCCATTTTAAGGTATTTTTTTTAAATAGTTGATAACAGTTTTAATATATATCTACATTTGCATGTGTTCTTCTGTACTTTTTCTTTCTTAATGCATACCTCTTTCCAAGATCAGTGTAAGTTATGAAGGATCTGTGATAAACATTCATAAGCACTTCAGAGCTCAAGTACCATTTCCGACCACTCAAAAAGTGTTCAGAAAAAACTATGATATTCAGATCCTACTTGAAAACTAGTACATAAAGGAAAAAAAAATATTAACAAACCCTTCAAGATGCAGTTACTATAGTACCAACAAAAACAAAGAAGCCACCAGCCTGGAAGCATAGTTCTGAAACAGCTGTCAAATAGACTGAGCTGATAGAGGAACCCAGCGCCATCCAGGAAGCAGAGAAATTCCAGACAATGAGGCCAAGGAAAGGAAAACTGGCTTTTCTGTATACCACATGGCATATTAAGTCTACTTGGCCAAATAAATTTGCCTTGTATTTCTTCTTCTATTAATTAGGGTATTTCTCTGAAGGAAAAAAAAAAAATCACTGGGCATTTAAAAAAACCCCAGCTACTTCAATAATGAGGTTGAACATCGAAGTTCAACAGAAAAGTTAAAATTATGCCAGATCTGCCTTATGCTTATCCTTAGCTATCAGAATGACAGCTATTTTAAAACAACTCTGAAGATTAGAAAACGCATGCATGGTTGACATGAATGCATCTGTCTCCTTTAACAGTTGATTACAAAAGGGTCTGGAAGACACTGAAGTAAAAAAGATGGCATTTCCTATTCACGTCCATGAGATGAAAAGATCTCGGTTAACTGCATTCTTGTAGAAAAGTCTCCAGAACATTGTCATGGACTTCCTGCTTGTGATATGGATGCTTGAAATGACCTGATCTGTTTTCCAGCTCATTCAAGAACCCAGGCCGATTGCTAACAGAAATGTCTGATACCTGATATACTATATTTCTGGGGAGGACAGCATACCTCCTTTTGATTTCAAGTCACCCAAGGACAACTTCTAGCCAAAAAAGCAAGCATCTGTTACAAAGACCTGCACAAATGGGTAACTGGAACAACATTCTAATAATAATGTTGCTCAGATTCAGCCACAAAGTCTTCAAAAAAAGGTCAAAAGTTCACTAAACAGCCAGCAGAAGAGTAAACTAATTCCTACCACTTCCGCTTGCTTCTGGTATGATGTTCGAGCGCACACCCCTTTGTGGTCCATAATGCTCCTTTGGAGGGGATGCTGAAGAACTTCTTTCTTTATAATTCTTTTATTCTCCCTGGAAACACAGAAGCCAAGAAAATTGCCTAAGAAATAAGGAGGAGGTGAAAGCACAGACTGCTGCTCCTGCTGCGTCAAAGTGAGGCTTGCAGGATTGTTCTAGATGACATATGACCCTCAATAATTGGAGTGTCAAACTTCTGGCAAAAATCTTTGGGCAGTAATCTGATAAAGGTCACCAGATGGTCAAAGATCTTGTGGATTGTTGTGGTTTAACCCAGCAGGCAGCTAAACACCACACAGCCATTTGCTCACTCCTCCACAGTGGGGTGGGGGAGAGAATCGGTGAAAAGATGAAATTTGTGGGTTGAGATAAAAACCATTTAATAGGACAGAAAAGGAAGGGAAAATAATAATTATAAAAGAATATACCAAACAAGTGATGCACAATGCAATTGCTTGCTCTCCGCTGACTGATGCCCAGCCAGTCCCTGAGTAGGGGGCCACCACCCCCCAGCCAATTCGCCCCAGTTTTATTGTTCAGCATGACGCCATACAGCATGCGACGTCCCTGGGGTCAGTGAGGGGCAGCTGTCCCGGCTGTGCCCCCCCAGCTCCCTGTGCCCCCCAGCCACTCGCTGCTGGGGTGGGGAGAGAGGCAGAAAAGCCCCTGGCACTGTGTAAGCCCTGCTCAGCAACTAAAACATCCCTCTGTTATCAACATTACTCTCATCCTAAATCCAAAACACAGCACTATACCAGCTACTAGGAAGAAAATTAACTCTATCCTCAACAAAACCAGGACATGGATATAGTTTGAGCAGCACACAAGGTAGTTCCAAATGTGGAACTGAAGTGACAGTGAAGAATACTGTCTTTCATGGAGCACAAGTACCTCGGGAGTTCTTCGGAAAGTAGCTTTGGAAAGTACTTAGGAAGCACTGCGAGGAGGTGAAGATCTAGACCACAGGGAGATCTTTTCCTTAAGAACATGGTAATATGGCAATAGCCTCTGTTAGGGCTCTCTGGAAAACAGGTAGTGTGATGCTGCATGTCTGAGAAGCTTCTCCAATTGCCACAACAGTCACAGAGCTGACCCACTACTAAGGTCTTGCTCAGGAATCAGATGGTCCCAGGTTTGAGGTTTTGTCTTTGGAGTACAGCTCTTTCCCATTCTGACTGAAACAGGCTATTCAAAAGCAATTTTCTAGTTGTGTTGATGGGATAATAAGCTATTTTGGTCCTGAAGAACTCATAAACCTAACTAACAAATATTCCTGAAGCTAGTGCTAATGGTTGCAGTGGGCAAAAAGACAAAGTTGTCCAGGAATATGGGCTATCAAAGCAATGGGAATGATCATATGAGATTAAAAAACAATTGCCAAAATCAATGCACCTCTCAAAACCCCAAGGCAGAACTAGTCAACGTAAAATAAAAATACCAGCAGTAGCTAAAACTGTCTTAGCTGTAAAAAAAATTAAAACGTTTCAAAGTTGGGTGACACAGGTGCTGTATGAAATAAGGAATCATTTTGATTCAGTAGACATTTAAGGGCAATTGAGTAGAAAGCGGATTGTACTTATTGTCACATCGACATTATGTAGGGGGTTGATACTTGGGCGTGCTCCTGCTGCTATTAATAAGATTATCTGACCTATAGCACCAAGTACAGATACGCTCTCAGTGTGAATGTAAACAAAGATCATCTGATAAAGAGAATATTGAATCCTTGACTAATTCAGTCAATGTATGTTTAACTTACTATGAATCATTAAGGAAGCTTTGTAAGAGAGCTAGCCCTTAGAGAGTCCCGTAGCCTGTCTATATGGAAAAATGGAAAAAGGAGAGGAAAAAAGAGGGAAAAAAAGTGGGAAGGAGGAAAACCAGATAGAATATTTCTTATCAGAAGAAACACCTTTCAGCTCTTTGAACATACTGTTTGCATTCCGTGTCTAAAAAATTTACATTTGCATTTGTGAACTATGTTCAGTGATTAAGTAATTAACAATACATGGCAAGTACCTGATTCTATTGGTTAAAGTTCATTTAATTTCTGCAAGTCATTTTGTTATTTAAGACTTAACTTTCCAAGTAACTGGGAAAGCACTGCCTGACTTCACAAACATCTTATAAAATGTCATGTCCATTTATAAAAATAGTCTATGTATGTTTCAGATTAACACAAACAGAAACGAATGTACTTGTGCCAGAAACTAACGTACTTGTGCATACTGCTCTATCAACTGGAATCTTGTTACCTTACATATAGTAAAATGAACTATTACATGCTCTCATTTATGTCCCAAGTCAATATATTCCTGTATCTGCTACAAAAACAATGGCTTTTAGCTAGATCTCTCAGAAGCATGATCCTGTTTATAGATTATTACTGTCTAAAGACTCGGTATAAAAAATAAATACTGAAGCAGCATTCCTGCCTGTCCTCTCTAAGGCTCTTATATTTTGCTGGGCAGTGTACAGAATCAGGCCTCTAAACTCAAAACCTGAGAATTCCTTTGCTATTTTAATTTACATGGCAGATTAATATATTTTACAGTTATTCAACTTTTTTCTATTCAGAAATATGTTAATTGCACCATTAGATCTGGTACAGACCCATTTGTGTAGGAGACCTGGCTGAGGAGGAAACTAAATAGGATACATCCCAGGATTTCAGTTAATACCATAATTGCCCCATGTACATTTTAACAATTTCTAAACTATGAGGTAGGTAAACTGAGTCTGGAAAATGGTTATCTTTTCTTCCCCTGATATATCAGAAAGCATTAAAGGTTTAACTACGCATTCCCTTCAAACTGGAATGTTGTTTTCCTTCTTCCCTCCATCTCTTTCAGAACTTGCGTGAAAAATACATCAATCATGGGAAGGGGACATGTTACTCAATAAAAGCAAAACTAAATTTATGTGTAAAGGATAGATTCCTCACTTTCAGCACTGAAGAAAGCAAACATGCCAAGTACTTAATACTTTAATGAATAGGGCTTTTTAAGTAAATTCATATTAAGTAATCAAGGCCAAAACTGAAGAACACAGAATCTTGTTTAAATCCAACCTTTAACAATACTACCTGACACCTAATGTTCAATTTTTAATATAAAAGTGCATCAGAATTAGCAGCAATCTGGATGCATGATGTAAGCAAGTTCAGTTTGTCACTCAGCTTCTTTGGTATTTGGCTAACCCCCTGGTATATAGCTTTTTCGTAATTTTTATGTATCAGACAATGAAAGCAGTGTGTAGTGTTTTAAATCCCAAAGGTTGCATGCATCTAGGAGACCTGCATTTAGGAAACTACTATACAGCAATAAGCCTTACTATACTGAAGTACTAGAAACCAAAGTGGCCAGGAATCAAACTTTTAAACCATTATCAAGTACGCACTGGTACCAAACAGCAATTATTACAAATTTCAAAGTCTTTGTAATTAGCAGCAGTCACAGAGAAAGCGATTACAAATCAGCAAATTTTACAAATCAGCAAATAAGTAAACAATAATAAAGGGTAATACATGTACATGTTCACTTCATTTACTAATTGTTTGTTGACTGTGCTTTTTTCTCTAGTAATTATTGGCATAATATTCACATTTAATAAACATTCTAATTCTAGTAGACATTTTGAATATAGCAATACAAGTAATCAAGTAAACATAGCACTGCAGTTGGTTGTAGATCGGTGCTAGTGAATACTGAATCAATGAAATTTAATATGTGATATCTATTCCTCTTGAAAAAAAATAATGCTAATAAAAATCTCTGTAACTCAGGTCATGGTCAATGTTATGCTAATAGCTATAATAAGATATATGTGTTTCATGTAACTTGCAATTGATATAACTTTTTTTTCCAAATGTAACTAAAATTCCATCAAGGTTGAACTAGACAGATTTTCAGGTCTCAAAAAACCCTCGAGATTTTCTTCCATGCTTCCATAAACTCTTACATAATTTTAACAATCACAACAGGGATCATTATAGAATGGTATAAACGATATTGCAAGTACGTGATAAATAAGAAATCAGTTAATGATGTAACCTTAAATCTTCATATATTCAGTGTTTTAGTTTGTTACATTAAGCATCACTCATTGCTACCTAGTTATTACTAATTGAGCTTAAGTGCAAGGATACCATGGTGTAAACTTCTGGGTTTCGTTAGACAGCTCTGGCAAAACCTATTGCTGTGTCCAGTTTGCTCTCTTTCAGGGTGCTTTCCTCTCAGGTTGTTGTTAATTCAAACATCAAAACTCCAAAGCAATGAAAGAACCCTTCTAAATGCATTGCTTTTGTTATTGTGGGTCAATTATTATTCTTTCAGTGCACGAAAGATCCAACAGGTGCACGTGGCTGGTTGTTTCTACATCATTACTTTGTACCCCAGTATGCTGGACACATTTTCGCTAGAAGTAAGCACATAAAATTTAATCAGCTGAAGCTAATACACTTGCATTACCTAGATTCAGAATTTGTAAAATTTCCATAGCACACCCTCATTTTTGCTTATGTAGTCAATTCAGACATGCTAACAATAGGGGAGACAGACCTTTTATGATGGACTAGTTTTTGCTGCTTGGATAAAACCCAGAGAGATCAGCAGTATTGTCTGAAAGATCCTATCTATTCTTACTCCTAAAGAACACCACCTGACAAAAATTAACATCTTGAAAATATTTAATGTATGTTCACAACCAACCGTTCTTCCTCTGCTTACTGTGACATCATGCCTAAAGGTAATAAGCACTGGGTTTTAGCACAGAAATAGTCGAGTTAAATGATCAAGCCACTTACCCCTTACTCGACCTTGTGAAACTGCTGTCTGCTTTACCTACAGTTTGCCTTTGACAACCAACTACAATCTCTCAATGTTTGTAAACAATCATGTTGTATCATTATGCCATCCAGGGGAGACAAAAGCAGGAAGCCCATCAGAATTACAAAACCATTTCAAGTCTTTAGTTGGTGTGCAGTTTCTGATGTAGTGAATTCACACCCCAGGCTGCTGATGCCCGGAGCACCCAGGGGTTCTGCTCTCGCAGGC